GTGTGAGTGTGAGTGTGTGTGTGTGTCTGTGTGAGTGTGTGAGTGTGAGTGTGAGTGTGTGTGTGTGTGTGTGTGTGGATCTGATCATGTCTGGTGTTTCAGGGAGGACATGCATCTGCAGATCCTCAAAGCGTTCTAAAAGGGAAAAGTTTTTTTTTTTTTTAAAGAATAGAATTACAATAGAGCGTGCTAGAGTTAGAGGGTCAAATAAAGATGGAAGAGATGTGTTTTTAGCTGATTCTTCAAGGAGTTGGGCAGGTTGTTCCACTTCCATATTTATAGTAAACCTGTTAAATTGAATGCTGTCACACTAATTGACATGCTCAGACTGTAAGAATACGATCATCTGACAGTGATATATATATATTATCTGTCGGTAGGCGGCCGTGTGAAGACGTGGAAGAGACGCTGGTTCATTCTGACTGATAACTGCCTGTATTATTTTGAATTTACCACGGTAAGAACAGCAGCCGTCTCTCTGAATGCATGCATGTGTGTAGATCAGGAGTGATCATGTGTTTGTGTTCAGGACAAAGAGCCGCGTGGCATCATTCCTCTGGAGAATCTGTGTGTGAGGGAAGTCATGTTTCCACGCAAACCGGTGAGAACTTCACACAGACCGGCTTACAGCCTCGTGAACGGCAATGAGAAAGCTGTTTGGACAGGTGGACAGAAACATTACACTGCAGTTTGGCCGGCTGCTAAAGGAGAAGGATAATCACAGAATGAATATATTCAATAAGGCAGCTAAAACTAGAGAAGAAATATTAGTAACACTTTACAATATGTGACCTTGGAGCACAAAACCAGTCATAAGGGTCAGTTTTTTTTTTTAAATTGAGATGTATACATCATCTGAAAGCTGAATAAATAAGCTTTCCATTGATGTATGGTTTGTTAGGATAGAACAATATTTGGCTGAGATACAACTATTTGAAAATCTGGAATCTGAGGGTGCAAAAAAATCTAAATATTGAGAAAATCATCTTTAAAGTTGTCCAAATGAAGTTCTTAGCAATGCATATTACTAATCAAAAATGAAGTTTTGATATATTTACGGTAGGAAATTTACAAAATATCTTCATGGAAGATGATCTTTACTTAATATCCTAATGATTTTTGGCATAAAAGAAAAATGTATAATTTTGACCCATACAATGTATTGTTGGCTATTGCTACAAATATACCCCAGCGACATAACACTGCTTTTGTGCTCCAGGGTCACATATGTTCACCTTAGTTAATGTTAGTTATGCATTACAGTGACTTATATTTGCATTGCATTTACAGCATTTATTAATCTTTGTTAACTTTAGAAATATCCCTGTTGATTGTTAGTTCATTTCAGATCATGTCCATTAAATAATATTAACATATGCAGCTTCTGATTTTAATAAATGTTGAGATTCTCATGAGATTATGAGGAAATGTTGATTAAGAAACTAAGATTAATAAATGCTCATTCATTTTTAGCAAATGGAACCTTATTGTAAAGTGTTGGCAAAAATTGGATTATAAATAGGGTGATTTAACAGACTATTATTAAATAAACTGTAAATTAAGTAAATAAACATTTAATAAATGAATTAAATACATTATGGAATGTTGCAATGAATAAAAGTAGAGTGAAATTTAAGCATATATAAGCCGTGTATTTTTCATGCAACATGAAATACAACCTGAAATATGTCTAAAAAGGAAAAAAAACAAAAACGAAAACCCGAATGAAATATGAAATGAAATACAATGAAGAAGTCACTGAATACATGTTGCAATAAATAAATATAAACCTCATGAAAAGAGAGTACAAATAAATAAATTGAGTGTGGAATATATTTATGTAACATGAAAAAAGTGACCCGAAATACAACAAGATATAATAAACAGTAATCTATCACAGTATCAGTACTAAAAAAAAATCCTGATAAAATAGTTCAGTCTAATTAAAAGTTGACTATTTGAGCTAGTAGTGTGTGTTTTAGTTTAGACTGTATTGGAGAGTGATGCGGCTCATGAGGGTTTGAACAGAGCCTGTGTTTCTTTGATTTGGTCAGTGAGCGGTTTTATTAGTGAAGGTTAACCTGTGACCTTTGACCTGTGTGTAGTATTGTTTGGAGCTGTATAACCCCAACAGCCGGGGTCAGAAGATCAAGGCGTGTAAGACAGAGACGGATGGACGTGTGGTGGAAGGGAAGCATCAGTCGTACACCATCTGCGCCGCTTCAGCCGAGGAAAGAGACGACTGGATCGAATCCATCAGGTATGAACACACGCAACTCACCGGCGCCGTCGAACATTCGTGACTCGTCTGAACACATGTGACTCATCTGAACACATGTGACATGTGACTCGTTTGAACACACGTGACTCGTTTGAACACATGGGACTCGTCTGAACACACGTGACTCGTCTGAACACATGTGACTCGTCTGAACACATGTGACATGTGACTCGTTTGAACACACGTGACTCGTTTGAACACATGGGACTCGTTTGAACACACGTGACTCGTCTGAACACATATGACTCGTTTGAACACACGTGACTCATCGGATCACATATGGCTCGTTTGAACACACGTGACTAGTCTGAACACATGTGACATGTTTGAACACACGTGACTCGTCTTAACACATATGACTCTTGAACACATGTGACTCATCTGAACACATGACTCGTTTGAACACATGTCACTCGTCTGAACACATATGACTCGTTTGAACACACGTGACTCGTTTGAACACATGTGACTCGTCTGAACACATGTGACATGTTTGAACACACGTGACTCGTCTTAACACATGTGACATGTTTGAACACACGTGACTCGTCTTAACACATATGACTCGTTTGAACACACGTCACTCGTCTTAACACATGTGACTCGTTTGAACACATGTGACTCATCTGATCACACATGACTCGTTTGAACACACGTGACTCATCTGAACACATGACTCGTTTGAACACATGTGACACGTTTGAAAACACGTGAGTCGTCTGAACACATATGACTCGTTTGAACACACGTGACTCGTCTTAACATATGACTCGTTTGAACACACGTGACTCATATGACTCGTTTGAACACATGTGACTTATATGAACACATGCGACACGTTTGAACACACGTGACTCGTCTTAACACGTTTGAACACATGTGACTCGTCTTAACTCATATGACTCGTCTGAACACACGTCTGAACACGTTTGAACACATGTGACTCGTCTTAACTCATATGACTCGTTTGAACACACTTGACTCATCTGAACACATATGACTCGTCTGAACACACGTCTGAACACGTTTGAACACATGTGACTCGTCTTAACTCATATGACTCGTTTGAACACACGTGACTCATCTGAACACATATGACTCGTTTGAACACACTTGACTCATCTGAACACATATGACTCGTCTGAACACACGTGTGTCGTGTCTCCACAGGGCCAGCATCACTAAAGACCCCTTCTATGATCTAGTGTCCACCCGCAAAAAGAAAGTCATCAACAAAGTGGCAGAGAAATGACGAAACGACTGAACTACAACCACAAACGGACAGAACTATAAGAGAGCACTGCTTATTTATTAAAGCTCAAGAGATCAGCTCTGTCTCAGACGTTTCTCCTGAAAGTCCTTAGACATACAGATTCAAATGAGTCAATAGTTGTGAGTATAGACCAATGAAATGAATGTGAAGCAGCTCTGATCATTTGAAGAGAATGCTGAGTTCATATTGAGATCATTTGAGACATTGCTGAGATCTTTTCTGAAAGAATCTTTTCACTGCCTGTTGATTTTAACGTCGTTTCTCAGAGGTTTCTCTCTCTAGCTCAGGAAATGTAAGAAGTATCAACTTGGTCTCAGATGTTGCTCCTGAAATTCATCAGGAAAAGTAAAAATAGGGCCAAATGAGTCACTAGTTCTCATCCAGCAAGACATTATTTGATGAGACATTATTGGGATGTTTTCTGAAACTCTAGAAAGACACATGTGAGATTACTGGTGTCTTTTTTGGAAGTGAATGTTCATTTGACCTCATGAAGAGACAGATTGTGTTCATGTTTAACATGCGAATGCATCCATTCCAGAAAGCGGCAGTGATGTGTGACGCTCCAGAGATTCCCCTTAAACACATTCAGGACAAACACAGTGACTTTGATTTCTTTGTAGCAAATGTTTTTTTTTTATGTAACATACTTTTGTAAATAATATAGATCATACAGTGTTCAAGATTATATGTGATGAATTGTACAATAGATTATTTAATTAAAGTTATTTGAGACTAAATGTCCTGTGATGATTGTTGTTAATGAACTGTCTCTACAGTTTGAGCAGAAACACACATTAGTGCCATCAGAGACTCGCTACAAAACATAACTTTTGTTGGTTTTGTTAAAAGAAGATGCTCAGCGTCATTCTCACTCTCGACACACACACACACACAC